AAGAAACTTTTTTGGGCCAAATTTTTGATTTTTACCTAAAAATTACGAAAAACCGTGCAAAAAACTGCGGAAAAATATGCAAAATTTATTTCAGTGATGCAACAACAACGAGTAGCGCAGCACTTCATCACAGAACATGCTTTCCTCAGTTTTCAAGTTGTAAGAATGTTTTCATCACATTTTTTGGAATAATCTTATTACTTTTGGTTGCATCACCTTCGACCTTTATATTTTAGAAGTGGTTTTATACAAAAATTGCTTAGCTTGATTTTATTATGTTGTTTTAAAGCCCATGATATTCTCAGCACATGAGATATAGATATGTCACATTGTTTATAATACGTATTCCACATGGAATGCTTAAGTTGAATCTTCCTATTCCATTCTATTAAGTAGTCGGATATTTTTTGGAATCGTTTTGAATTTTCCAGAGTCTCTTATCTTTTGAAACCCTTGCACACTTTTCAACTATTGTCTCCCTTTTTCTTTTTTTTTTTTGAAGAGGTCTGGTAAAATGTTGGTGTTTTTTTTTGAGGAATCATTCCGACCATCCTCCAGTAATGTATCGGTTGATGTTTTTATGGCTGATGGTACCAAAGAGACGATTCGGTGCAACGTTGAACATCCCACCGACATTGTTCTTAAGGTTTCTTCTTTTTTCTCTATTTGCAGAAAGTTGTGATATTCGATTTTTAACTTAGCAAACTCAATAAACGTAGTAGAAACAAGTTAAGGCCAAAATCTTCTTCGTATTCACTTATTATGAAAGGCGGAAACACATGGAGGTATCCCGAGCTTACAAACAACTTTTCCTGGCAAGTCTGTCGATGATTCCTACTTTTGAGGGTTGATTAGAACTCCTCGGTGGTTTTGATTCTTTGGCATGCGCTATTACCAATTTATGGTCGAAGCACATGCGTGAATCGTGGAGAGACTAGCTGTCCTACTGAAGATGTTATATGGTCCGTCTCAAGCACGACAGTAGTAGTATTTGCCACTGAATCATACCCATTAGATAATTTACGTAAAATTTTGAAATTTTTGGTTTTATGACTTACTTACTGTCTTTTGAAAACTTCAGTTTTTAACACCAACTTTTTCAACAACAATAATTATAGCGATTCGCTGAACAAATTGGTATGAACATTGAAAATATTGGCAATTTTGGTTTATTTTTGGCAAAACGACGATACAACAACAGTAACGATGCTCATTACATTTCATCAGTTTGCTCAACACAATACCCCGATAGTCTTTGTTCGTTCATTTCTTTTGCTTTAGAGCAAAGTTGATTTCAATAATATTTTCCTAGTTTTATTAATTTTAATGAGTTTGCCGAAGTATTCGCTTCACATTCCACTCGTTCTGACTGGCTTCAGCCATGTTACATTTTTTTATATGAAAATAGTTATTTTTTATATTTAATGCTTAAAATGGCTACTGGTTCGCCATTGAATCATATCCGAAACATTCCCCAGTCCTGTAGCTAAAAACGATGCTACTTTTTTTATTCGTTTTTTTTCATAGTTTTGTCCATTACTGCACCTTCTCGCGGTTGGCCTTCTGACAATTCTGACATTCTTTTCATCTGCTGAAGTGACTTCCGGATCAGTGGCTTTCCCAGCGAAAGGTTTCTTAGCAAGGCTGTAGCGATTTGGGGATTCAGCTGTTTGTGTTGAGCGTCACTTCCAGATCCAGCTCAGATGGATTGTTATCTAGAGGGTTTTTGTATCAGTCATATTTTGCGCATGGTATTTTTCAACTTTTTTTTAAAGCAGTATGATCACAGCCCCAGAAAACGCGCGAAAAGCCGACTAAAAAGCCGCCACAAAGAAAAAAGAGAAAAAAGGTGTGTGTCTTACTCCTGAAAGGCGGGGACACAGTAGATGTGCTGCCAGACTGAACTTTTGCATGAGGACCGGTGGTGTAGTGGTAACGCGTTACATTCGGGCTTGAAGAGGGGTGGTTCGATTCCCTCTCGGTGCAGGACGATTTTTGAGAAAGTCCTCCGTTCACAACAAATATAATTAATATTTAATTACAATCCATTAATAGTCGATCCTATTTCACAATTGGTGTAATTCACAGTCTCGTACAGCTAACAACTTTTCCACTTGCTTTGATTAGTGCTGCATTTCCTGGTAGCAAGCTGGATGGCACCATTAATAAGTGCAGAAAAAATTCTACTTCTCCTCCCGTATCTTCTTTTTCGCTAAGTTGTGAAACAGAATATTCATTTTTTTACAGCGATTTTACTTTCCAGGCGTTCGCTTGTTGCGCAGTTTCGAATCGCCTTATTTATCAACACATTTACTCAATCAGAAATCGGCAGCAGCAGGAGTGTTTTATTATGTAACAATTAGGAAGCTAATTTGGGATCCAAGGATTGAAGAAGAAATGCTCGATGATCCTGGAGCCCTGTTATTACTGTATAAACAAGTTTGTTCTTTTTTTTTTTTACAGAAATACAAAGATTGTCCTAATTTTTGACTGCATAAGTAGTTACCTTTTCTGTCAAATGAGTGACGTGAAGGTTACCTTTGCTACCATCCCAGAAAGTAAAATTTGATGAGCAGAGCATGTTGCTTACCTTGCTGAAAACCGATAGACGTCGTACATCCCTGAATAGTACCCAAGAACGTCTTTCAAAAAGGCAGCGCATATTTTTTCCAAGTCATTTTTTACAGTACTTTCTTTTAAAAGACTTCTTTGTCCGTAAGTTTACATTTTTTCTTTTTATTTAATAAATGATCATTTAGGCTGTAGGTGATTTACACAATGGTCATTTTGTGCCGTGCCAGCCGGAAATTAAAGATCGTTTATTGGCATTGGAAGAACAAGGAAACTGTTTACAGGTCCACTTTTTTTGAGTTCGATGCCAAGTAATTTGGGTTTAATCCCTCGATAAGTCGACGACATTAATGGATTTTAATCTCCCAAGATCTCTGTGCATTACTGGAAGCTAAAATTTGATTAATACTGGATTGAAGTCTGTTTCAAATACTTCTCGACGGGTGGTTGACTAATTATTGCACC